TTTTGGCAACAGGTGCTCAGGCAGATAAAAAGAAGAAAAAAAGGTAGCGAGGGCAAAGCGTGGAATGATATGGATGAAGTGAAAATAGGAGGAAGCTTTTCTTGGCCTCCTGCTGCAGAGTCTGAAAATGAAATCAATCATGATAGCCAGAGATTTACACGTCAGACACGTTTTCTGAGCGATCTGCAGCAGAACATGAACAATAAACCAGCAATGGTTTTAATATCTTTTATTTCTCTTTAGTTATGCTCCTCTGTTGCTCTACATCCCGCATTTCTACATATCGCATACAATGCTGACGACCAACAGATGAAGTTGGACTTTTCCTGCACAGATCAGAGTTCAGTCTTTATTTTTCACATTAATGGAAAAAAAAAGATTTTTAATCAGTCTAATTTAGTGAATTGATTTGATTTAGGAGAGATGATCCGTGGGTCTCTGCTTTCCCAGGCAGACGTATCCCAGGAGGAGGAGGAGGATGGGGAGGAGGCAGGGTGGGGGGCTGATTAGAACCCCCCATTATTAAAATCATTTTAAACTAATTTAGTTAATCGCTAACTGAAGTAAAGAGACTGTTAAACCTGCCTTTAGCTGACAGAGCGACCCACTGAGAGCAGTAATTATACCAACACTGTAAAAATAAAAAAAAATATAAACATGATGCATTTAAGATTTTAAAAATCTATTTTTTCTGTCATTGTGCTCTATAATCCAAATGGAAAAGTTTTAGCTTCAACTGGTTTAATTCTGTAAAAAATCTTCTTCAGGAAAATTTGGTTATCCCATTATAAATTGATTAATTAAAAAAAATTTCAAAAAATTGATCAGTTTGCAAAATAATCGTTAGTTGATAGATATATCTATATAGATATATAGATATAGCCTCTGCAAGTTTTTTCCTACTTAGTTTTCAACAATTCTGTTCTATTTTATATGTACCTGTATATCATTAATATAAACTTTATTTGCAGAGCCCATTAAAACAGCTGAAAACTGAACATGGCTAAAAATAACAAAACAAAAGAATAAAATGCAGCATTAAATATATAAAACAAGGCTACAATAACAATTTGTTTAAACTAAATAATTAAGTCCAGAATACAAGAATACAAATACTTCCTTCCTTCAGTAGAAATATTGGCTATCGATACTTTACTGGAGGAAATATACATTATATTTTAAAAATAGTCTCCTTAGTTTTGTTTCATCTAAGCTCATTTTCATGATGGACTGTTGGAATTTAAATACAATAAAAACCATCAAAATAATTCGGTTTTTTTTTCTTTATGGGTGTAATTGGTGCTGCCCCAACTTGTTGCTCGCCAAAAACCAAAATAAAAGGTTTTTCAAGATGATGCAAAGTTAAATGTGACTCTGTTACCATTAGTTATAAAACTAAGAAAATGAAGTCTAAGGAAGTTATCATCCAGAATTGTAGAAAAATTTTCCTTTAATAGAGTAGAGCAGTAAAGCTTCTGGCCTTTAAGGCAGTTTATCCTGCATTACTTTTACTTTTATACTTAAGTAGTTTTAAACAATAGTACTTTTACTGGAGTAAAAAGCTGAAGTTGATCCTCTAACTTCTATGTTTTTATACTGTAGGATTTATACTGGAGGGATAGACATGAATCATTTCCAGTGTTAAAAGCAGCAATTAAGTTATTTTTTTTAAAACTTAAAAGAATGAAAGGAAATATTAGGCTGAACTAAACATTGAGCCTCAGTAAAAAGTCTCTCTTCAAATCAATCCATTAATATTTATTAAATAATTTTAGATTTAATTTCAAACTAAAGCTGTAGTGAGATGATTTCAGTGTTTGGACAGTTTGATGTTATTTAGAAAAGTTAAACAACGACATTCAGTCAACGCCTGCTGGTGGTTTCCATTTTAGAGACAAAATTAAATGATTAAAGTTATTATTATAATAACCAGTAATATCAACCCTGAAGAGGAGGAAGACCACCTCTGAAATCCAGGTCCTTTTTCAGGAAGTTTTACTTTTAAATCCAAAAAAAAGCTTGGATTGAGCCGGAACCAGGACCGATCCTTGGTTCTGGTTCCAGGACCGGTTGGCCTGGTTCTGCTGGTGAGAACAAACAGCTGTGTGTTTGATTGTTGCTGATGATGTTTGACAGCTGCTGTATAAATAAAACTCAGCAGAGTGGAGCAGAAATTCATCTAATCCTCATTTGCTAAAACAAACATTCAGATTTATTCCCAGCCAAATAAACCTGGCGCTGCTGATGATGATGACGATGATGATAATGATGATGATGACAGGCTTTTTATAAACGCCTCTCCACCGCTGATGGAAAACAAAAAGGAGCATTTCTCCCAATAGGAAGTGACTTCATCACCCGTCTGGTCAGGAGCGACCCTGCAGCCACTACGGAGGCCCGCTGGGTCCAAACCGCCCCCGTCTGATGATAAACAATTGAACTTAATTGATCTCACATTGGAGGAATTCCACCGCTGCGTTTAACTCATCCCCAGTGGGCTGCCATTGTGCGGCGCCCGGGGAGCAGTGTGGGGTTAAGGGTCTTGCTCAGGGACCCAGAGTGGAGGCTGTGAGAGTGGGACTCAAACTCAGAACCTCTGGTTTCCACCCCATGCAATGATGCTAAAGCTGCTGATGATGCTAAAGATGCTAATGATGCTAAAGATGCTAAAGCTGCAGCATCCTACAGTTCAATCAGTTAATGACGTCACTCTGCACTGGAGGCAAAATGTCAAACATTCATTAATTTTTTTCAGCAGAATATTGATTCTGGTCTGACAGAGATTATTGATTATTCTCATAGAGATTATTTCAGATGAAGGTTTATTAAAGCTGAATAATCCCGGTAAGCATCGAGCTTTAGTAGATGATCTACAGAGATTAATTATTAACAAACAGCAGATAAACAAAAATAATAAAAACAACAAATAACAGCAATGATAATATTAATATTATTATTAGTATCATTATGGCGGATCTGTCATCATGTTCTATTATTTCTCTATTTTCAGGTTGAGATGAAAAAACATTGAATTTCTAAACGCTGCAGTTAAAATCAGATTAATTTCAACTTTAGCTTCGTTACAAAAAAAAACAACAACACTATTATTATTGGATATTTATTAGTCTTTGTGTTTTATTAATTTTTTTCACTCTTTCTGTTTTATTATATATTTTTTGGTCTTTATGTTTTATATTTTTTTTTGGTCTTTATGTTTTATATTTTTTTTGGTCTTTCTGTTTTATTATATTTTTTTTTTCGGTCTTTATGTTGTATTATATTTTTTCGGTCTTTCTGTTTTATTATATATATTTTTTCAGTCTTTGTGTTTTATTATATTTTTTTCGGTCCGGTTCTAATTTCCAGGATTCGCTTCTGTTGGTTTTGGGAAACCGGGCCGTTTTTCCTCCTCTGTTTTCTCATCGTTTCTCCTCATGATCCATTTCACTGGTTTACTGGTTTCACTGGGAGCCCAGCAGAATCTCTGCTCCTCGGTTCCGGTTCTGGATCCGCTGCTGAAGATTTGGCCCCGGTTATTCCTCTGGTTCGGTTCTGGGTCCGGATTCGGCCTCAGCTCCTGGTTCCGATCAAGATCCTAAATCTGCGATTTTACTGAGAAAAATGTATTTCAATTTCTTTGATTTTAGTTCGCTTCGTTTTTACACTGAAAATAAAAAATAAATCTAAATAAGTTATTTCTTTATAGAGGGGGTCACTATTTACAATTAATATATGAAGTGAATATTTTCTATTTATCTTATTTTAAGAGTAGATCACCTATTTAACGTCTGAAATGAAGGATAAATACATTTTATTTATTTCTAGATCGTTTCTGCAGTGAAAAATTTTCACTTCTACTGTTGCTACAAATTTACTTAGATATATACGGTGTTTATATATATATATAATTCATATTAAAAGCATCTTAAAAACGTTTTAAGATGCTTTTAAAAAACTTTTTTTTAAAACTGGTTGTTTGTTGATTTTTTTTTCTTTATTAATCGATTTATAGTTTTATTTATTAGCAGAACCAGACAGATTAAATTGAGTTCAATAAGTGATCTTATTAATAATATTCTAAATTATTAAACATTTTAAGGAACACGTTGTTTGATAAATTAGTTTATTTCTCTATTTTGTGTCCAAATAAATAAAAAATAGTTTGAATTGTTGAAAATCTGAGGAAACATGCTGATCTTTCTGTTATTTATCTATCCGTTATTTCTGCCTTAATTATTAATTTTGCTTTTTATCAATCAAATAAAAATGGATCCTTTAAGTTAAAAGTTCTGCTGCATCAGAACCTGCTGGAACATCTAGATTCTCCAGATCCCAGCAGGCAGCATCAGAACCTGCTGGAACATCTAGATTCTCCAGATCCCAGCAGGCAGCATCAGAACCTGCTGGAACATCTAGATTCTTCAGATCCCAGCAGCAGCTTTAACATGAAAAACCATCTTTGTTCCAGCAGAGCCTAAATGAACGCAGAGCTGGTTCTGCGGGGTTCTGGTTCTGCAGGGTTCTGGTTCTGCTGGGTTCTGGTTCTGCATCATAATCTCCTCCTTTCTGTGCAGAGCACAAAGCATTGGGGCGGTTCTGGTTCTGATCTTTTGGGCCCCAGTAAAGCAGACTGGTCTCCTCTGCCGGTTAAACTGGGATCATGTGAAGTTAGCAGCTGATTCTGGTTTCCAATGAAAGGAGCCGAAGTTACTGAAAATATATTTAATAATTAAAGATGGCGGATACATAAAGGGATGCAGACAGAGCCGATCCAGCAGGAGAACAGACCTACTGCACAGATTCCTTCCTTCCTCAGAAGCACCGAGTCCATCATGGGGGGGTTAACCCCTCTGCAGCGGCTCACATAGAGTCCACTTTAGTCCTTCAGTCCTTTAGTCCTCCAGCCCTCGTGTCCTCCATTCCTCCAGTCCTCCTGTCTTCCATTCCTTTAGTCCTCCTGTCCACCAGTCCTTTAGTCCTCCTGTCCTCCAGTCCTCCTGTCCTCCAGTTCTTCAGTCCTCCTGGTCAAAGCGGGCCGCTGGCTCCAGTTCTGCAGCAGATCTCTCCTGCTCGGTCAGCTGCTCGCTGCTGGGGATGGAGTTTTTCTTCGGTCGGCCTTTAGGCTTGGTGGGGGACTCCAGACCGCCGCCCTGCAGAACCTGCGAGCAGAGAGGCCCCCCCTTATTATCAGCAGATTATTATTAATCTTCTAGATTAAAAAGCAGCAGAGCCAGACTTACAATCTTCTTCCACTTCATCCTCCGGTTCTGGTACCAAGTTTTAACCTGCAGCTGACTGAGGCCCAGAGATTCAGCCAGATCTATTCTGCAAAGATCAGAAACGACAGAACTTTTCTATGTTGTGTTTTCTAAGCTCTCCTTATTTCACCTCCCAGTTAAAGAAATAATACAATCATTGATCTATTAAAGAACATGTAGTTACTGTAACAGCCCTGCTGCCATGAAATGTTAATTAAAGTTTTAATACTAAAATTAATTCACGTTAAAATTTTTAAAAAATTAAAGCATTATACTAACATTTATTCATGTTAAAAATAAAAACAATTAAAACATTAATGCTAAATCTTTTTGGATTTTTGACCAAATAAAATGAACCAGTAGAGAATCCCAGTAAAACCAGTGAGATGATCAGCAGCAGGTTTATAAATATAAATAAATTTAACTTCAGTCATTTCAACGCAAACATTAAATGATAAATATTTATTAGAGTTTTATAGATTATTTTAAAGGTTTATGCATTTAGCATTAATAAAATATATTTGATCAAAATGAAAACTAATGAGTTTAATAATTCCAATAATTAATTTTATAGTTTTAATCATAATCACCTTTAGGTTTGAACCTTTATGCAGTTTAAATAATTAATTATTTAACCATGATTGATTCTAACAGTTATTATTATAAATAAATCAGATTTACTATCTGATGATTCTGCATCATGTTCAGATTATTTTTAAATGTAATAAAATGAGATAAATCTTTTAGATAAAACCAGGAGCAGAACCTCCGCTGCTCATTTCTACCCAGAAGGTTCTGGATGTTCAGAACCGAACCGTTTGATTTTTCTTCCTCCGATCAAACTAAACTAGATTTTCTTTTCTCCGCCGAACCAGCAGAGCTTCCTGGGGAGCATCACCTGTCGGGGGTGGACAGGTACTTCTGCTTCTCGAAGCGCTTCTCCAGGCCCATCAGCTGCAGCTCGGTGAACACCGTCCTGCTCCGGCGGCCCTTCTTGCTCTTCCCGCCTCCGTCCGCTCCGGCCTCCAGCTTCTCGCGGAGGTGGAGGTCCAGAGGGAGGTGGTGTCCGGCGGAGCCGACCTGCAGGCCCGGAGGGGCGGACAGCAGCGGGCTGCCCAGCGAGCAGGAGAGGGGGGGCAGGGGCAGCTTGAGGAGGCCCGCCTGGTCGGCCTTCAGCACTGGAGGAGGACCGGGAGGAGAGAGATATAGGAGTCAGTGATGTTACAACAGGAGGTTCTAGTTCTATGTTCTGTGAATCAACATGGAGCCATTTTACACCTGAAGTTTTGATTATTTGACCATCTAGATCTATCTCTTCCAGAAGCTGTTTAATCATTTTAACGTTTTTAATGAGACCTTCTGCATTTTTTCTAATTGAAAATAAAGTATAAAATCAAATCTTTTGAACATTTATCTCCATTTAGGATTAGATTAAATCAGAATCAATAACTGATTAAGCTTCTGGCTCACACTGAGTCCGTGTTCGCTCCGGTTCTCACCCAGCTGGCTGTGGAAGGGCCGGGCGGCCAGCAGAGCCTGGACCCCGAACCTCAGCAGCTCCCCGGCCGGTGCAGACGCCTTGTTCTCCGGGGGGTCCGTCAGGATCTCCTCTATCATGAAGCTCCGGTACCGGTGCGTCCTGTGGTCCGGCTGCACGTCCGGCGGGTAGTAATGCGCGCTCATGTCCAGCGGGTGCTGCATCCTGCGGGCCGTGCGGTCCAGTCCAAGCGCGTTCACGGATGCTCGCTCCTTCAGAGGACCTCAGAGTCACAACAAGTCATGGTTCCTGGTAGAGCTGCTAGCTCCTCTCCTTTAGGGTGGTGGTGGTGGGGGGGGGGGGCTGATGATGGTCCCAGCATGTGCACGGCCTGTTACTGCTCCTGCTGAGCCCCGCACCTTGGCAGTGAGGAGGGGAGCAGCCTTCTGGAGTTAAGACCTCCTCCGTGGCTCCGCCCTCCCCAGCGGGGCTGGTCCAGGCCGCCTCCTGCCTCTGGCTCAGATGAACTCCATGCAAAGGCAGCTATCATGCAGAGAGGCAGGCAAGGCAGAAGGAAATGATGGGGGGTTCTCCTTCCTTTCTTTACTTCATTTCTTGGTTTGTTAAAGGATTTCCCAGCAGGCATTAATAAAGTCATTCTGAATCATTCTGAGCGCAGCGTCACACAGAACTTTATTCGAATCAACCATCAGTTGATCCGAATAAAGACTGAAAACAAAATGGCTGCTCTATGGATGACCCTGAAAACATGGCCGCCCTATGGATGACGTGCTCTATGGATGACCCTGAAAACATGGCCGCCCTATGGATGACGTGCTCTATGGATGACCCTGAAAACATGGCTGCTCTATGGATGACCCTAAAAACATGGCTGCTCTATAGATGACCCTGAAAACATGGCCGCCCTATGGATGACCCTGAAAACATGGCTGCTCTATGGATGACCCTGAAAACATGGCCGCCCTATGGATGACCCTGAAAACATGGCCGCCCTATGGATGACCCTGAAAACATGGCTGCTCTACGGATGACCCTGAAAACATGGCCGCCCTATGGATGACCCTGAAAACATGGCTGCTCTACGGATGACCCTGAAAACATGGCCGCCCTATGCAGGGGCGCAGATAGGTTTTTGAAACTGTGGGGGACAGTTACTATAGGGCTTGGTCATCGTGACGTAAGCACTTCGCGTCGCCGCCATGTTGAATGCGTCTTTTACAGCAGCTCAGACTACTGCCTATGACTACCGCGTACTGTACTCCCTCTCAGCCGTGTTTTAATTTGATTAATTTCACCTTAACTTGATTTCAACCATGGTAAACCGTTGCTGTATTGTGGGCTGTAACAGCTCAACACATGATCGCCATGGAAACATAGAAAATGGGTTAACTTTCCACCGCTTTCCTGACTGGAGGCGTAACCATGGAGACCAAGCGTCAGAGATAAAGAGTCGTCGGCTAGCTTGGATCGCGGCTGTAAGACGACCGAACATAACTTTCCACAGTATTCCGATGTCAATGAGAGTATGTTCCCTGCATTTTCATTCTGGTAAGTTAAAGATGCACGGTTTTATTTTATAGCCTACAGTGTTTCTTTCCTTCAAAGTTGGGATCTTTTACGGGAAAATAATAAAAACGGCAGCGGGAAAAGGCTCAAATACGCGAGAAACCCGGAGGGTTGGCAGTTAACGTTACTAACTACACCTTTTAAACACATAGCAGCTAGTTAAAAGTACATTACATGCGTGAGTGGTTGTTAGCCTTAGCGGTTAGCAGTTGCTAAACTAGCAGGTTCCAGAGCCCCTCTGATCACAGCTTACCTTCGTACGGATTACTGTGTTCCCACTGTTTGCTGGCTTTATGATCTGCAGCTCCTGAACCCATCCATTCATGAACTGCACATGAGACTCCAGGGACTTGTAGCTTGGGAACTGTTTTGAAGTATAGGCGCTCACTCATTGGTGCTCCACTCATTGTTTGGAACTTTATATGGATCCAAATGATTAACAATGCTGATTTTGTCACCATACCGGTCCCTGGCTTCTCTATTTAATGTGTCCCGGTAAATTCTAGATCCTTTTCGGGATTTTAACATCTTTTTTCTCTCTACTTCTGTCTCTTCTTTCAACAACAACGTTGTGTCAGAGCTATGCTTACGTTTGCGTAGCAGTCAATATGGCTGCGACGTCCCACAATGCAACGTGGATCCTGAGCCCTATTACTGGCTATTACTCAGCTATGACAACCCATCAATCTTAATTGCCCATCATTGCAAGAAAATAACATGTATTGGTACCAAGTACTCACCAAACATGCCACATGACGTGTGAAAAAAAAAAGGTTTTATTTAAACATGGACTGACTTTAAGTGCAGGCTGTAAACACACAGAAACACGAACAGCAAAGCCTACATATATACAAAAACAAATTTGTAAATAAGTACTTTACATGGCTTTTCAATAAATGGCCTCAAATGAAGAAAGTTGTGTGTCTACTTTGTCAAGAACTCTGTAGAACTCCACTCTGTGGTACTCCACAGCAGATTCTGGCCTGTGTGCAGGTGCTGGCCCAGAATATCTCTTTGGGGGCCTATGTGTTAGAGACAGCTTCTCAGCCATATCCACTGCTTCCTTAAAGACTGCCTCAAAGTGGGCTGGCTTTCTTTTGTCCCGTAAACTCTCTTGGACAACTGAGACTGCAGAGACCATGCCCTCCAATGTCTGGGTGCTTTTTTGGAGCGATGTATTCAGCACTTCCAGTTCGCTCATTACATCTAAGGCCAGTGAGCCCCAGTAGCCCCAATTTCAGTAAAATCTCAGGCTTTTAAATGTTGTAAAATCACCCATAAGTTTTAGGTGTTTTAGTCCTTTATAATTAAATTTATACATTCAAAAAACATAAGGAAGTTATTATCAACGTCTCACTCTACTTTACAGCTTTGTATTAACATTGCTTTAATGTGTGTTATTGTGTACAGCTGGGGATGTTAAGGGCCACGTTAATTATAGATTAAATAATTTACTGTTCTGTAGTTTAAGCAATTGTCATATTTGTAACATCACTAGTCTTTCCTGTGACATGCACCTTTTATTTATTTATATATACACACACACACATTATATATATATATATATATATATATATATATATATATATATATATATATATATATATATATATATATATATATATATATATATATATATATATATATGAGAGAGAGATTCTTTCCTCCGAGTTACAGTGACATGGACAAACTTGAAGATACATGACATCCTCAAATTTCTATTCTATTAAAATTTCTGTATCTGTATAATGGGTCTGTTCTATATGTTGTCTTCTCAATTCAGAAGGCCCCATGCCTGTCTTTGCCTAGGGCCCAAAATTTCCAAAATCCGCCCCTGTGTAGTGGAATTTGTCTAGCTTTGAAGTTCGTTTTTCTCATGATTCAACCTGTAACAACCTAAACCATTTGGCTTGACATAAATACGGATTCAAGTAGCCTACTGTAGCCTACATATTTCTGAAAGACCCCCAACAACTCCAGAAAAAGTCGGAACAGTCGATTTCATTATAAATAAATAAATGCCAGTCGATTCCCCCTGCCTCCCGCCTTATGACATTGGCACCTCTCTTCACGCTATTCTCACTGACCGTCTCCACTCTTTTTTCCACGGCGACATCGAACAGACAACCAAAAAAATGCAAGGTGATATGATACCGCAATGAACAGTTTACTTACAGTTGGTGCTTTTCGAAAAAAGGATGCAATTGTTTTCTGTTTTTTCGGTTTGGCTGGCCTCATGTTGATGTCCGGACTCCGGAATTGGGAACTGTCCCGCCACTACTGTCTGTCTGAGTAACCATGGAAACCAGGCTCGAGACGTAAATGCCAGAGACAGGATAACTTTTAGATTTGAATCTCTACGACGCAGGCAGCCTGCAGTTAAACAAAACGATTGCCCGTCTATGATCTGACTGTTTTATGTTGTTGTTGCAAAGCAGTAAATTAGAAAAAGCTTTTTGATTTTCTGTGAGTTTCGCCATATGTTTTTTTTTTTTTTTATAAAAGTGGGGGGGACGGATTGAGGGTCATTCGAATCTGTGTACGTCAGAACACCCCTGACGTACAAGCTATCTGCGCCCTTGGCCCTATGGATGACCCTGAAAACATGGCCGCCCTATGGATGACCCTGAAAACATGGCCGCTCTATGGATGACCCGCTCTATGGATGACCTGCTCTATGGATGATCCTGAAAACATGGCTGCTCTATGGATGACCCTGAAAACATGGCCGCTCTATGGATGACCCGATTGTCGCTACCCGATCCGTACCGGTAGCACGATCTGTACCATCAGCTCATTTGCGCCTGCGCGAACAGAATAACTTCCGTGTCGCCAAAAAATAATGTAATTACGGTACTGAAAAAACTTTATTTATATCCTTAAATAATTAAAGAATACTAAACTACATCGTAAAGACAATATTGAAGACTTTTCTGGAAGAAATGGATGCTTTTTAAATTCAATCCATTGGATGACCCGCTCTATGGATGACCCTGAAAACATGGCCGCTCTATGGAGAACCCGCTCTATGGATGACCCTTAAAACATGGCCGCTCTATGGAGAACCCGCTCTATGGATGACCCTGAAAACATGGCTGCTCTATGGATGACCCTGAAAACATGGCCGCCCTATTGATGACCCTGAAAACATGGCTGCTCTACGGATGACCCTGAAAACATGGCCGCCCTATGGATGACCCTGAAAACATGGCTGCTCTACGGATGACCCTGAAAACATGGCCGCCCTATGGATGACCCTGAAAACATGGCCGCCCTATGGATGACCCTGAAAACATGGCCGCTCTATGGATGACCCGCTCTATGGATGACCTGCTCTATGGATGATCCTGAAAACATGGCTGCTCTATGGATGACCCTGAAAACATGGCCGCTCTATGGATGACCCGATTGTCGCTACCCGATCCGTACCGGTAGCACGATCTGTACCATCAGCTCATTTGCGCCTGCGCGAACAGAATAACTTCCGTGTCGCCAAAAAATAATGTAATTACGGTACTGAAAAAACTTTATTTATATCCTTAAATAATTAAAGAATACTAAACTACATCGTAAAGACAATATTGAAGACTTTTCTGGAAGAAATGGATGCTTTTTAAATTCAATCCATTGGATGACCCGCTCTATGGATGACCCTGAAAACATGGCCGCTCTATGGAGAACCCGCTCTATGGATGACCCTTAAAACATGGCCGCTCTATGGAGAACCCGCTCTATGGATGACCCTGTGCCTGAAAACATGGCCGCTCTTTATATGTCCCTGAAAACATG